ACACATGCTCACACATGCACGTCCACACACCACAGAGATTTGCTGTCTTCTACCAAGCAAGGCACCACTTCCTGTCAGGCTCTTGCAGACCTGAAGGTGCTCCAGGGAGAGGGTGCCCCATCTCTGGTTTGCAGTTTGTTAAATGGGCAGGCCCAGGGCTGTGCTTAGATGCCGTGGCCCTTGTTCCCCTGTGGGTGTATGTGTGAATTAACAATCTTGCTCAGACAGGGCAGAATGGTGTAAACAGCTCAGCTACCTCAGGGGATCTCTTTAGGAAGGTGATTTCTAAGTCTGTTACCAAATACAGTTTAAAAACAACTGAAAGAATAAAAATTAAAAACAAAACCACCTTCCCCAGGAGAATTCCCCAGTTATGCCTACAAAATTCACAGCCTCTGCTGTGGCTGGAGTACATTCAGGATGGGGGTTCTTAACCCTGGCTGCAGCAAAACCACCTGAAGTGCTTTGGAAACTTACCAGTGTTTGGACCCTGCTCTAGGCATCTCTGACTTCATCCATCTGGGATGGGGGCCCAGGTAACAAGTTTCAGCTCCCAGTGACTCTAATAGGCACCAAAGGCTGAGAAGTGGAAAAGCTGGAGGCTGTGGCTTTTCTAAGCCCCTCACCCTGGTACACAGAATGGGTGGCGGTGGGGCTGGGACACTGTGGAATGCATGGCTCCTTCAAAAGGCCTCGCCTGTGTCCCCACTGCAGTCATGGGGGATGGGGTTAGGGCCCAGGCTCAGGGCCCTCGAAGAGATGTAGAAAGAATGGAGGGACCCTCTGCACCCCTCAGAGCAAACAGGATACCCTTGGTTGCCGGAGTGTGGCCTAGTTGGGGCGGGGGTCAGGCCACAGAGGCACCCCGGGGAGGTGGCCCAGATGGTGGGGCCTCTGGCATCCTGCACAGGGCATTGGGGGGAGCCCGCTGGCCTGGATTGTACTTTGTGCCATGCCCTTTCTTGGAGGTACTTTCTTCCTTCTTCCTTTGTAAAGTGGGGTCATTGCATTGGTCCCCATAGTCGGAGGGGTCAGTGGCAGATGTGCGGCCAGGGTGGAGGCAGAGCTGTGAGCTCCTAAGCACATTCCCTGCCAGGCCCTCTCTGATACATAGATGCAGGCCTTTCCTCACAGCAGAGATGTCGATACAGCTTGAGATGCGGATGAGCCTCCTGAGCTGCCATGACAATGGAGGGCACGCTGCGGGGCTTACACAGCAGGAATGAATGAACTGAACCCCCAGGAGCAAGGTGTTGGCAGGGCTGGGGCCTCCCGAGGCTGTTGGGAAGTCTCTGCCCCAGGCTTCTCCCCGGGCCCCTGGTGGTTTCCTGGTGAGGAACTTGGTGGCCCTTGTCCCGTAGCTGCATCTGTACTATCATCTCTGCCTTTGCCTGGTGGCCTCCCTGGGAGCGTGTCTGTGTCTGAATTTCCCCCTCCTATAAGGATCTATTGGATTAGGGCCCACCCTGATGCCCTCATGTTAACTCAGTTACCTCTGTCAGGACCCCAACTCCAAATAAGGTTATAGCCTGAAGAATTGGGGGTTAAGACTTCAATGTGTCAGTTTGGGGGTGGGGACACAATGTATGCCCATAATAAGATGTAAGCATTGGAACCTGGACAGGGCCCTGGGCAGAGTTCCCACCGAGTACCCGAGAGCCCCTCAGGGAGAGGCAGAAGCATCCAGGTCCTTCTCAGAGCTGGGAGCCATTCTGTGGGAGCAGCACCAGGTTAATTCGAAAACAGGTCAACAGGACCTGAAGGTAATCTGAATTCCGAGTGTCTCGGCTTGGCTTCTGCGACAGAAACATCTCCCTTGGCTGGTGAAATGACCTGTGTGGGAGGTGGCAGGACAAAGACGCGGCTTGTACATTTGTTGTAGTTTATTCACAGATGTTCACGGCAGATGTCCTGGCCACTGACGGAGCACAGGGCTGGACGGATGTGCCGGCCCCGCTCCGTGCCTCGGGTTTCGGTGTTTTAATTAACCGGCTCACTGGAGTGACGTTTGAGGCCACGGGCAGGATCCACATGTGGCTTTGCTGCCGCAAGATGAGGGAGGTGGCACGAGGGAGCTGTGGGCTCTGTGATGAGACTGCAGCCAGGCAATGTCAGTGGTCCCCGCCCGTGCCCCCGAGGTGGCGGAGGGAAGGGGATGTCAGACCCCGGCGCCTGCCCGGCTGTGCTTCCTGAAACAACCTGGTGTGTGCGCAGGTCCAGGGTGGGCGTCTGAAAGTTAAGCCTTTCCCTTCCTGCTTTCCCAGAATCAGCTGTGCTCATCAATTTTATTTGCATAATTTCAAGCATCATTAATAGTACATGGCATGAGGAAAAATTACTGAGCTCTTCCTCCATCCATGAGTGAAATTGGGTTTAGTAGAAAATTAGTTGACTTAACTGGCAAATGATGAAAACCCGAGAGGAGAATGTTTAAATAAGGAGGACTAGGAGGGACAACTCCTGGCTGTCAAGCCCGCAGCCAGGCTGGAAAGCCACCCCCTGCCTGGGGCCTGGGGCCCAGAGGAAAGGCTGGGGAGGGTCCCCAGAGAATGACGAAGGTGGGGACGAAGATGCTTCCTCTTGCACAGTCCACTGTGACCAGCTGAGGCAGGTCTCAGATCTGGATATGACTGGATATCTGATCCAGAGATCAGATCTGGGTATGACTGGCACAGACTGGTCTGAACCAATGCAAACTGGGCCCAGCTGCTGGAAACCAGCTCGAAGTGACCAGAACCAGCCGAGCCGGGCAGCCCAAACCAGCTCCAGTGGGAGGATGCTGCCCTCCTCTGAGGGGGGAGGAGAAAAGCACTGGGTTTGGGGCACACACGTTAAAACAGAGGTGCCCCATGGAGACCACTGGGTGGCAGGCCCAGGGGAGGTGTGGCATGGAGTCAGTCTTGGCTGTCCAGAGTGGTTCAACACAGTGTGGATGAAGTTGCCAAGGGAAGGGAAAACAGGCTTGAGGGCACAGACTTGGGAAATATCAGCACAGAAAGGCCTCTTATAGGCAAAGGAGACTGAGAAGAAGTAGCCAAGAGCATGCCAAATGTGGAGTCACGGGTGCCCATGAGAAGATGCTTCTAGAAGGATGGTGTGGCCAGCAGCACATGGCTCATTGAAAAGCCAAGTAAGAAGGAGACTGAAAATGTCCAAAGAATTTGGTCACATGGGGCTGGGTGGGGCGGCTCCTCCTGTAATCCCAGCATGGCGGGAGGCCACGGTGAGAGGGGTTCGAGATAGTGAGACCTGGTCTTGGCCAAAAACAAAAAAAATTAGCCGAGTGTGCCTGTGGTCCCAGCTACTCAGGCGACTGAGGCAGGAGGAGCACTCGAGCCTGGGAGTTCGAGGCTGCAGTCAGCCATGATTGTGTTACTGCGCTCCAGCCTGGATGACAAAGCAAGACTCTGACTCAAAAAAAAAAAAA